ATCTTTTTTTCGAATTTGATTAGGTTGTTTGGTATTAAAACGTTTGTGAAATCAAATTCTTATAAATTGTTTATTAAAAAAAAACTGAATCTGTTTAAGGACCCCTCTGTAGCTTAGCTCGATATCAGGTACATGAACACTTAGTTATATTGAATTTTTTATCAAGATTATTCGTCACAGCATATCGTCACCGTCTAAGGGAATCAGTTTAGAAGAATTTTTTCCTTAGATTAATGACATTGCAATTATATCACGGTATTTTTGCTTACATTACGCAGACCCAGTCGATAAATATAAAGAAATATTTATTTATTTATTCGTTTTAAACAAACTTACACACTGGAAATCATTTAAAGGCATGTAATGTTTAGGATGTTTAATAATACTCCATATTTTACTATCGGCGGCAATCAGATGTACAATATGATAAAAAAACGGCGTCACAGATGACTATGAAATGAAGATGGCTGTCTTATACAGGGTCGCTTTTATGTATGGAAACGGTAGATTATTGGGTAAAATATAGGAGGTACCGCAAAAAGTTAAATACAAAACCGGAAACGGTTGGTTTATGGTACATTGTGTGTATTTCGATTTTTGCTTAGAAGTGACGGAAGAACCGAAATATGCAATAATATACAAGGGGTTCCATTTAAAAAAAATTAAACTTTGATGTGCCACGGCTTTATGACCGACTCTGTATACTTCAATTTATTACCCGTTAATAGATATTTATAAACCCAATAACTTTTATATTTAACTTTTTGCTGTACCTCCTATATTTTACCTAATCTAAAAATCGACCGTTTCCATACATAACAGCGACCCTGTATGTCAATTTATATGGGGAATGTCATCGATGTTCATTTTTAAGCCAACAGGAAGCCGTTTCTTTTCGATCATACGGTATACAAACATGTATACTGTATTTTCACAGTTACTTTGATTCATTATTATAAAAAAAAATAATTTTTGATTTTAAAAAAGTTGGGTTGGTGGTGAAAAAACGCATATTTTCAACTTGTTTTTAAAAATGGATGGAGCTATCTTTAATTTATCTAAAAAAATATATTTTAACGTGTATGTTTATAAGAGGGCCATATACAAATAACATACAATCGCCAAAGGCGTGTGAGGAATGGCAATCAATGTTGTAATTTATATTTATACTAGCGTGTACCAGCGACTTCGTTCGCGTCGAATTAATCATGTGTAATGGTGATGATAAAGCAAAGCAAGAATTTCCATTAACATACAAACTGGACAAAATTTTCTCACATTTATGTCAGAATGAGAAAAAACAATATGGCGATATTATTATATAACTTGGAGGGTAGTTTCATTTCGTTGGAATTTGACTTTCGAAAAATCCGTTTGCCAAAAATAAGCTTTTTACGTCAAGCAGTTTAAGCAGAATCGTGGTTAAGAAATTACCCAACTTTTTGGAACACCCTGTATGATTTTTTAAAAAATTTCAAAATATGTATAAAACCAAATAAATTATGCTTGTCCATGCGATTTCCCTAAAGACTAACCGTTTTTTAAAAAACAAATATTGTAATTTGTAGTATTTGAGGGGTATTTTCACCCTCTTGGAATTTGAGATTCGAGAAACCCCTCCTTATCGAACCTCTACACTCCACAGTCAATCCGTTTGCCAAAAATCAGCTTTAAGCGTCAAGCAGTTTAAGCAGAATCGTGATTACTCAATGGTCATATTTTATGAAACATCCTGTATAAATTTATTAAAAATCTTAAAAAATGTAAAACAACAAAATAAAATATTCGTGTTTAAGAGTTTTTCCGAAAAACTCACCGGTTTTTAAATAAAAAATATTTTAATATTTGAGGGATAGTTTCACCCCCTTAGAATTCGAGTTTCGAAAAATCCCTTCTTATCGAACCTCTACACCCTAAAGTCAATCTGTTTTCCAAAAATCAGCTTGTTACGTCAATAGCTTTAAGCAGGATCGTGATTAATCAATGACCAGATTTTTCGAAACACCCTGTATACATTTTTAAAAAATCTTAAAATATGTAAAAAAACAAAATAAAATATACGTGTTTAAGCGTTTTTTCGGAAACTTGACCGTTTTTTAAATAAAAAATATTCTAATATTTGAGGGGTGGTTTCACCCTCTTGGAACTGGAATTTCGAAAAATCCCTTCTTATCGAACCTCTACACCCTAGAATCAACCTGTATGCCAAAATTGAGCTTCTTACGTTGAGTGGTTTGAGCAGGATCGTGATTAATCAGTATGTCAGTCACTTAAGGATTTTATATATTAGTATAGATTGGCTAGAAATAATTTTTTAAATAAGTAGGTGTAGTTTTTTTGTTGTTTGTAGTGGTATAGTTTAAAATAGCCAACAAACAAATATGGTTTGACCTGAAGTACCATCATATTACCGTCGTTTCCTCAGTCGTACCACTCTAGAATTTCTCACGGTATCGCTTGATGCCCGGAGCATCGCTAAGGCTTCTTTCCTCTTGCATGAAACTGAGAACATTTCGGCCATGGTCGACGTTGCATTTCACTTTGATTATGTGCATCGACAAAAAAGACGAAATGAAGCCAGTGATATTAAGTGCCATGCAGTCATACACTATATTGTTTAAATAACTTGTTTTCATCGTGTACTACTAACTTACTCTACGTGAAATTCAAAATTTGTTAGGGTGTATAAAAAAAATTGTATTAACAAAAACGCCTTAAGTACAATTGAGATCCAAGTGTATGATCAAAAAGATAATTGTTATTTTTATCCAAGACGATAAAATGGTATTTTATCGTCGACCGAAAAGATTAATTCTAATCTTTGCTATCGGCTAGATAACTAAAAACTCTCCAAATGCTTACTCTCACACATATCTGTCAGGAAGGTATCCATTTGAGATTTCTGTTCCATCAACTGCCTTTCTTTGTGTATTAACGTGTTTTGTGTTTTTTTTAATCAATTTAGTTATTCCCTCATATAAACATATATACAACACATAGATAATGTACAGCATATACATAGAAGATCTGGGTGTCGTCCTTCTTCATCTGTCGCAGCATCAGTGACCTGTTGGTACCAGATCCTGGCCAGATGATATCGAAGGCATTCTTTCCTTAATTATTTCTGTCGTCGATTTCTGGATTTAGTGTATGGTTCTATTTAATATTAACCATTTGATCCTCTTTGTGAATTGTATAAATTTCAATTTTTTTACCTCCTCTGCTAAACTATTGAATGTTTGAATTGTTTTTGTTGTTAGTCTCTGTGTTAATGTCTTATTTTTTACTTTATGGCATCTAATATGTGACTTTCTCCTTGTTTGGTAATTGTGAACTTCCATGTTTGTATTTAATTTAATATTTAGCAAGGTATTAAAAAGTATTAATTGTTTTATATCTAGTTCTTGCACTGTATCAAATAATATGTATGTTGGTGTTCTTTTGTGTAATTTATATATTAATTTTAAAATTTTATTTTGTTGACGCTGCAATGCGTTGAAACTCTTTTCGGTCGTATTACTCCATATATTCATTTAATAGTTTATCCTTGAGATAAACAGTGCGTGATATGAAGGTTTTCTCATGTTATCATATATCAATTTTTGAATTTTTATTAAAGCTGCAATTGTGCGTATATTTTCATTTTTCAGCTTTACGATATGAGCATCCCATTTCAAATTATTTTGTATTTTTAACCCTAAATAGTTGATTGTTGATGTTTCTCGTAAAATATGGTTTTGTAATTTTATTTGTAAGTTTAATTTTTTTTGTGGTTTTAAATATCATATATTCTGTTTTTAGCTCGTTTATGGTTAGGAGATTATTGTAGCACCATGTTTGCACTTTTTGCAGGGCTTTGTTGATATTTGTTTCAAGGATGTTCAGATCTGTTCCTGTATATACTAAACATGTATCATCGGCATATCCATATATGACGCCATTTAATGTTAGTTCGCAGAGACCGTTTGTATAAAGGATATACAGGAGAGGTGGTAGATTTCCTCCTCGCGGTGTATCTCATATGGCGTCATGGTAGTTTTACTTTCAATATTTTTTGTGGTCGATTTTTTAAATAGCTTTCCGTACGTTCTAGTATGTGTTGATTCAGTTTGTATTTTTGTAATTTTTCATTTAATTTGTTTATGTGTAGTGTGAAAGAAACATAGAAGTGCAGATAGTTAATCCCATGGTATCCCACAAAACTGTATTTTCCTCGTATATACTTATCAAAGTATCGTCTTTTGACCACTCTTGCGAGTAGCTGCCATTTTAAATTAATAATTCTCTGCTAGAACTATCACAATACGAAACGTAATCGTATTTCAGAAGTAACTATCCGCTATTAAAAAAAATATGCATACACTTGAGAGCAAACCGTTGCGAGTAAACTATTGATAGTAAAATGAATATTCTCCGATAGGTAGTCGCAGACGTGTATCGACATGCGAGAACTACTATCGAGAGTTTATCGCGCGAGTAATGCTCTCAAATAGACACTTACCTTTAAATAAAACTATCGGACACAAAGAAATAGCCATCTTATCTTATAGTCAAGCATCTTATAGTCAGACTAGGATGCAGGCAAATTAATAAAATTGCGTTTATCTCATGAAAGAGGCCGAAATCGACAAAATATCAAGAGACAACATTTAATTGGCATTAAACTTCTTACACTATTTCGCTAACTAGAGAAAAAAAGTCAGTAGCGTACTTTCTAGAAAAATATTCCAGTGATAACGCATATGCCCGTCCCTGGTGAATATGTCGACACTTTTTTGGCTTTAAAATATGTCGCATTTATAGTAACTCTTACATTCGAAACGCTAAAAGTACTTAAATATACTTAGAAGTACTTAGGTATCTCCCCATGAGAGATGGCACATGTTTTTTTGAAACACCCTGTAGACTTGTCTACTGGAGGCAGGTCTATAAGTATCTTTGAAATCTCGCATGTTTACTCAAATCTATTTGATTAAAATAAACTGTAAAAATTCACTTACACGCCTAAATCCGCAAAATAAGCTTTCTTGTCTCCGTCAGTCGTCTACTTCATTTTTTTTTTCAGGGCATCACTGTACAGCCTCACGCATTGTTGACTAACCTTATCTTCAGTCTATATTTGTCTCTAATAATTCAAATATAACGGACAGATGTCATAATATTTTTACTGTTTCGTGTACACTGTCTTTATTGCTTGTAAAGCGTATCCAAAAGGGTCAAAAGCTAAGGTAAGTATCCACGATGAAAATTTGTCACGAAATTTTTGTGTCATGAGTCAAAAATTTCAGATTTCACAATGGAAACACACTTGAGATGCATGAAATATTGCTAAAAATCTCACGACACAATATTTCACGAGATATTAATTTGTTTCATGAACAAGTTTCAACGTGTATTGATGATATTCGTCGTGTTTCATTTGAAATATTTGTGTCACTTGCTGCACTTGAGTTTTATGGTGTTTGAAATAAAGTTTGTTTGCCGGTGTGTTTACAATTTTTCGGGTTTCGTTATCGAGTAAGATCACGTCAAGTGGACCTCCCTTTTTCCCACTTGGTCATGAAATTTTATTTAATATACAGAGTGGTCCGAACTGTATTCCGGAAACTTCGGCAGCATATTTTACTGATAAAAATAAGTAAAAAAGTTCATATAACGTAAGTTTCATTTTTATTTCAATTTTTTCCAAATAATTTCTGAAGTAACGTCAATATTTGGATGAAAATTGGTGTCTGGGAGTTTTTTGACGTGAGAAATTTGATTTTGATATCAATATGACTCCTATTTGTAGGGGGCGCCACCCACATGTGTTTGAACTCTTTGTCCATATCTGTATAAAACTACTGAGTGAAAAAATATACATTTCCGTGATTTTCTACTTAAAAAATGTCTCTTGGTAAAAATAACTACGAGCAAGCGTTCTCAAGATATTTAGAATGGGAATAGTCAATACATGTCATTATTGACTAAATATAAACATTGAGCAGATAGAAATTTGGGAACTTTTTATTTTTTTAAACTAATCATAAATTTTTCTTCGAAAAAATGATGATAAAACCTGATAAAACAGTTTCTGTTGAATTTTTGGCACAAAAACATTTCAAATTTATGATTTCAGTCTAATAACTATTTAGTCAACATGTTTAATTTGTACAGGTATTGCTAAATTCGATTCCAAGAACAATATCTCGAGAACCATTACTCGTAGCGATTTTTACCAAGAGACCTTTTTAACGTAAAAAATGTCGTAAATGTATATTTTCTAACTCACTAGTTTTATACAGGTACGGACGAAAAGTTATTACTCTTCAAACCAGTTAAAAAATATGTAGGTGGCGCCCTCTACTAGTAAGAGTCATATTGACATCAAAATCAAATTTCTCATGTCAGAAAACTTCCAGACACCAATTTTCATCCAAATATTGGCGTTAATACTGTTTATTAAAGTTTAATATTCCGAAAGAAAATTTGACTACTCCCTATTAGTTTAAATAAAATAAATTTTGTGATTTTGTGATATGAATCTTTTTTTTGTGAAGCTATTAAATAATAACAGACTGCAGCTTTTCTTCTATCTTTTTTGGGGCCATCGCATAGGCAACGCTGTGCCGGTTAAGCTTAATCACATTTATTTGGTATGACCTATATTTTATTTATTGGTACAGATAGCGTAAAACAAGAAATAGCAAAGGGTAGAACGTAAAAAGTTAAGTAACTTAAATAATCTGGAATAACATAGTTTGATTCTGGACTTAACGTCTAATTCTGGACTTAACATAGTTTGCTTCTAGGTTACAGATGTGTATTTTTACAAAGTCACTTAAATCACGCGCATATCTCAGATGTGTATTTTTACAAAGTCACTTAAATCACGCGCATATCTCATTCACATTTGTAAAAGATTTACACCATAGTACGCCACGGACAATAACATTTCCTCTATTTTTGAAGATAATACTAATTTGTTGTTGTTTATTGTTAATTTTTATGTTGCGCGAAATTAGGAATTCTTATCATACTTAATTTAGTAATGGAAAACTAAATATGGTTACATTTATGAACGAGAACTTATGCAATTCGTAAATTTTGTCTAAATTTATAACATTAATTCGGTCAGACCTTGTTTTTCTCTTTAGAAGCTTTGATAAAATTAATATTTTACCAGTAATTATCAAAAGTTTAAATCTTTATAGTGTCTCGTTGTGATAGGTGTCACAATATTTCATAAATTTATTTCTTATATTATATTTGATTGACCTACGCAAATTTTATATAATAATTTTCAATTATTGCGTGTTTTAATCTAGTGATTTAGACTAAATATTGAAATTAGAGTAGTAGGTAAATAATTTTATCCAGCAGCCACTACTTATACAGACATTACTCACATGTATACATGCCATATAAAATAAATAATAACACACGCGTGAGTTTTTGAAGTTATAACAAACTAGTGTGTTGTAACTTCAAAACCACACCATTTTATTGTAATTATTTAGCTTTATTTATAAATTACTAATTATTCAATTATTTATTTAAATTAACATTAACATGAAATGAAAATGATTTTTTTGGTAGATTCAGAAATTGTAAAACCTTGTATGTCTCCAGATGCTGTCGCTCCACTGCTTGAAATAGGCTCTGTCATTACAACGGCTCATTCTGGAACACTTACAGCACCTTGAATCTTTTTCGCAATCTCTATTTTATTGTTGATGGACTCTTCGATATACCCTTCGGCAACCGTTGCAGGTTGTCATGTTCACTCCTGCATTTGCCAGTAATGTAGCGGATGATCTTATCATACAATGGCCAGTGTATTGCTCAGGATGTTGTAGGTCCAAGTACTTGTGGAAGATCTTCTGAATCATTTTTCTTTAAAACCTGACTTGCTGGTTAGTTCAGTCATTGGGGATGAAAAAAGGGGCCTGCTTGGAAAAAGTTTTGAAACTTTGCAGGTTTATAGGTTTCGGGGTCCCTAACTAATATTCATAAAATGCACATTTCCAGACTTGCCGCAAGATGGCGCCTAAAATCGGTATTTTGTAAATATTTCGAAAATTATGCGTTTTTCGCAAACATTTGAAGAGAGCGAAATTTCCTATAAAAAAGGTTATATGAAAATTTTCGCTAAAGTCAACCATTTAGGCACAAAATCCTTGGAAATTTTACAATTTTGCGTAAAGTATGATATACATATAGTCGATTTTCCGAAATAAAATTCGATTAGTGTTCATTAAAACTAGTTTTAGTTTAGTTTCTTCAATTTTGTCATGAAACAGCGGCGTATCATTAATTCGCTCATTAATTTATGAATAATTAATTGTCGTGCTGGACAGCATTCATTGCGAACTTACCACCAGGTTCAGCACTGGTCTGGTTGTACCAAAGACGCCGAAGAATGGGATTGGAAGAAAACAAAAACAGGTATTACTCCAGTCACAACGTTGAAAGATCCAGCTCCAAAATCCCTATCGGCATTTTTATCCTGTAAATGCAAAACCAGCAACTATGGTAAAGCCTGCGGATGCAGAAAAGCAGGATTAAAATGTTCAATGATATGTGCATACTGCAATGGGAAATCCTGTGACAACGTCACTGAAGTGTCACTCGACGAATCCGATAAAGAGGAGTTGGACTTGCCTGTAGATATCCCTCTGGAGGCTGAAGATGAAGAGTTGGACGTATTGAAACACCATCCTGATGAGCCCTGTACAGCAGACACGATCGACTTTGACATCAACGAGCCAGATTCGTCGCGCTTGTGCAGAAAAATTAAAGTTTTTAATTTATCTACTGGAGTAGGCCTCCGTTAAATGAAAGAATTAACGTATAAAAACGTTAAAATAAACGCGGCATGTACTTTACCTCTTGGGTGGTGTGGAAACAACTACACATTTTTAATAATTAAAATTAATTATTCATAAATTAATGAGCGAATTAATGATACGCCACTGTTTTATGGCAAAATTGAAGAAACTAAACTAAAACTAGTTTTAGTGAACCCTAATCGACATTTGATTTCGGAAAATCGACTATACATAATAGGTATATCATATTTTACGTAAAATTGTAAAATTTCCAGGGCTTTTATGCCTAAACGGGTGACTTTAGCGAACATTTTCATAAAACCTTTTTTATAGTAAATTTTCTTGTCTTTAATTTTGCTCTCTCCAAATTTTCGCGAAAAACGCATAGTTTTCGAGATATTCACAAAATACAGATTTTGGGCGCCATCTTGGCAAGATGGCGGCGCCGGCGGCAAGTCTGGAAATGTGCATTTTATGGATTTTATTTAGGGATCCCAAAACCTATAAACCTGCAAAATTGCAAAACTTCCGGACTTTTTTCCAAGCAAAAATCCCCAATGACTGAACTAGGTTGATAATTCACTATTTTCCCAAGTAGCAAAAAGAAATTCTAAAAGGATGGAATTATTTTATAACAGTCGAATAGCTTTGTCTTAAGGACTGCTTGATTTTATTAAGCGTTTGGTTTCGACCATTCTGTTTTTTAATAAAAGTTGTCATATTAAATTATTTTCTAGTGGTTTTTACAACGTATCCTATAACGCATTAAACGATAATTTCTTTTAGTATGCTATAACACTAAATAAGACAATGCTATATGTTAACAAACATATTATTATATTAGACTCTTATACCCACCATGTAAGAGTTTTATAATATTCATATAACTAGTAGTCACAAGATCATATAATAGTTACTTAAACTTGTCTTATTAAAGTTGTATTACGTTGTATGATAGAATGTTTTATGGCGTTAAACTACGGTGTTGTATACAACACCAGTTATGGTTAGTCTTATATGATAAAATTGTGATTAACAAAATAAATTCGCTGTAATATCTGCATTATAAAACTGGTAATGTATTACTAATAGAACAGTGACTAAAAGGAAATAGAAGTAACTGGAAGCAGTTTTGGTTATAATTACTTTTCCAAGTACTACTTTGAGGAATTTAATACTCAAAATAACTGTTTCACTTTAAAGAAATGAATCAAAAATGTGTTTTGCTCTATAGTCCGGACTATTGCTGTTAAATACTGCTATTAGATATAGAACATCAGAAACATCCAAATAACACACAGTAAAAAATGAGTTGTAATACATAAACAAAACAGGTGTTTTTATAGTTTTTTAACAACTTTGTTATTGCC